ACATCCACTCTTGGACTACTTGGAATCTCCAATTGGCGGCAAACAACGAAAATGAAGAATGACTGGTGCGCTGTTGGAAAGTTCTCTGAGCGCCATTCATTAGCGAGTGGCCAGAAACTATTCTTGTAAACATCTGTTGAAGGCGAGCTAATGCGACAAGGCGAAACAGCACCCTCCAAGGCTGGGAACCGCCACGCAAAATACACCCCTAATGAAAATAAAGACGGAAATACCAAAAATTTTATTGGATGCGATCAATAACCTCTCACAATATCAATGAAGGACACCTAATCAATATATTTATGATTAATAGTTAAGCCAGATTTTTACCTCTATAAATTACTGAAGCACCCTCGAATCAAATACGGACATACAATTAGTAAATGAAATCGTTCAATCCTCTTGCACTTCCTGTATGTGCAGCTACCGTTATGTGACCGTCACTTCATTTAGTGGATCAATCAAAGCAAGAGCAACGAATGCTCTTAGCAGTTGACAGTTTCGAGCGTCTAAGGAGTCAACTCGCGACTCATTTGCTAAGGGTTACTTATTTCCAGCGCTTATGCGTCACAAGTGCTTACAATGTTGTGCCATGACCTGGATGTGCGTGTGGTGCCATAAAGTCCCCAGCTTAAAAATCAGCGTCGCGTGTCTCCTATGATTTTTTTTTGTTTTCCGTTTCAACAGTAGCATTTCCTTGTATATAAGTACTTGGCAATGTATGTACTATACATACATACATACACATACACATGTACTATACATACATACATACTATGCATACATTGTCACCTATGTACATATGTATCTACATACAGCACATAGCACCGAAATCAAGGCTCGTATTGTATGCAAGTAGTTCGTTTTTATTGTTTTACAATTTAATTGGAGTTTACAATGTGGCCAGAGTTTCTTCCTCTGCAACTGTGTTAGCTTCCCCAACGGCCCACTCGCCTTGCTTGGCGCCAGACGGCAATTTGACTGTCAATTTGCGGAATTTCCTGACCAAATAATTACATTTTCCGTTTCTATATCGGCACGACAATCGGGTACCGTTAAGTCAACGTATCCATAAACAGGATCTAACAAAACACACTTTATAATTTGCTGTCTGCGAGTGCCGTAGCAACTTTGTTTCAGACAAATAGTACTAGGTGCTGTTATGTGTTATGAGCGTGTGTGAGTAGCGAACAGCAATGAGGTAATCATTCCACCCCAAACTGAATCATAGTCATCACGTCACTCCAAATCGTCATCATCTGTGTGCCAATTTCAAACGAGAAAATGTGTGTGAAATTATTTTTACGATTGTCGAGCTCCATTTAGTGGTGCGCATGCGTAGACCAAGGCACACCACACTATACACTCAAGTGTATAGGAAACTACTCACAGCAACATTTTGTAGCTGATTTGGCGCCATGGCAGTCGCCACTGTGGGGTTAAAGTCAGTAAAAAAAAAAGAAAAAAAACCACTGAATCAGCAATTAACGACACATTCACATATAAAACGCGCGATTGAACTTTAAAAATGTTATAAACATGTAAGTCATAACTTTTCCTACGATTTATTGCGGCAAATAATTTTTTACCGTTCGTGCTGAATTTTGAGTAAACAATAGCAATTACTTGGGTGTACCACTTTGTTGTGAGTTGTAATCAAATTTTAGTCAGAAGCTACATATTTCAATTTTAGACTATTTTCTACACGAAATTTCCTGCTGCATAGATACTTGATTTGAGAAATCAAAATAGTCATTATTGTTTAGTATACGCTAGTCTTTCTGAGGTACACAAATTGAATTCGGTGATTTTTACGATGAGTGAAATTATTCAACAAAGAAGTTCCATTAAATTTTGTGTGCAGAATCAAATATTAAGTGCCGAATCGTGGAAAAGGCCGTCAGTGATAATTTTTTTTTTTACACTCTCGCAACAAAGTTGCTAAGGAGAGTATTATAGTTTTGTTCACATAACGCTTGTTTGGAAGTACTAAAACTAAAAGAGTCAGATATAGGGTTATATATACCAAAGTGATCAGGGTGACGAGTAGAGTTGAAATCCGCCCCCTACTAACTCTTTTGTACATATCTCGAAAACTACTATAGCTATGTCAACCAAACTGTATATGGTCGTTTCTTTTAGGCATTTCCATATACAGTTCAAAAATGGAAAGAAATCGGATAGTAACCACGCCCACCTCCCATACAAAGATTATGTTGAAAATCACTAAAAGTGATAGTAAAAAAACCTCAGAAATACTAAATTTTACGGAAGAAATGCCAGAAGGAAGCTGCATCCAGGCTTTTTTTAAAAATTGAAAATGGGCGTGGCGTCGCCCATTTATGAACCAAAAACCATATCTCAGAAAGTACTCGACCGATTTTAATGAAATTCGGTATATAGTATTTTCTTAACACCCTGATGACATGTACCAAATATGGGTGAAATCGGTGCACAACCACGCCTGAAATCCCGATTATCACTTTATCATGCGAGAGTATAAAATGTTCGGTGAGACCCGAACTTAGCTCTTCCTTACATATAAAGTATTCAAAGAGCGTTGAGGAGGTATTGACGATTACCCACGTCAAAGAGGGTCATCAACATCATTTGATAATCAACATGTCAATAAGATATGGTGCTTGAGACGATTAATAGTCAGAGATCTTGCTGGCATCGTTGGAATATCGGAAGAGCAGTGAAAACTATTTTGAAAGATCATTTGGGCCTGAGAAAAGTGAAAGTTTCAAATTCACAAAATTTTTTTCGAAAAAACCGAATATCGTAGTAAATGTGAGCCGAAACCAAAAAAAACACATCTAAACAGTTAAAAAATCAGGATAATGTTGACAGTTTTCTTTGATTAACGAGGTGTAGTGTACTCCGAATTCCTTACGGCGGGCCAAACTGTAAGCAAGAAATACTATTTGAAGTCGGATTTATGGGCCGCATACTCGATTCATTCTTTGTGAGTTTTTCGCCAAATTTCGCATTCGCCTGATTTAGTTCGGTGTGACTTCTGGCTATTCAGCAAACTCAAACGACCGGTCCGGGGTCAATTGAAGACATTAAACATGAATCACTCTGCGAATTGAAGGTTATTCCGGAAATTGTCTTTAATAACTTTTTCAAGGATTGGAAAAACCGTTTGTTACAAATGAAATAAGGCCAAGGAGGATTACTTTGAGGGGAACGACTTAGATGTTCAAGAATATATAATAATCAAAGTCTTACTATTTTTTGCTTCATAGTAGTATATCTGTTCATTGCCTCTCCGTTAAAACGGAAATATTTGAAAATATTTATAATTTCATTACTTCACGTACATTTCATAATAGACTAGCTATCGATATGAAATTATTTCAAAATGGTTGTATTTATCAGGAGGTATAAAATCTTTGAAGTTCCTCACCCCTCATTCGGTGAATTCCATCTTCAATCTGTTTATAAGGTGAAATACATAGGGCTTATCCTTGATATAAAGCTTTCATGAAGGCTAAATATTGAAGGGAGGAGTAAGGATGGCATCTGTTTCCTTATATTGCTATAGAAGAGCTATAGGGAAAAGACGGGGACTTTCATCAAAGGTGGACTTTTGGCTATACGAACTCGTAGTCAAGGTAATGATGTTCTATGGTGTATTCGTTCGGGGAAGGGCGCCCGAAAGGATTACTCTTTCTGCAGCTTGGACGTATAAAATAGGCCTGCGGACTGCATCAACAATAGTATCGCACATAGCACCCGTGGACATTCCAGGTAGGTGCATTGCTGCGAAATGCTCTGCTCAGGGGGTCCAAACAAGGGGTCCGAACAAGGGTATGACGATATACTTTTGCTCTCCTTCTTCAACTGCATTCCTTAAAACTTGGATTGCTGCGTTATAGAAGCTAGTCATGGCGGCTTTTAATCTGCTCATATACTGTCGAAGGATGTGTGGATGGGAAAAAGTCGCTGGAGAAGAAGCGCAGTAAGCTTTTCCACGGATAGCTAGAAGCTAGCCTAGCTATGTTAGATTGTTGGAGTGGCAATTTCCTTTAAAGACCTCTCCGTCAATCTTAGATTTATGCTACCGGAACACTGTAGTGTGTTTCAGGCAGAATTGGCAGCTTTTAAGGCGACGGTAGACATTTTCAAAAAGGTGAACAGCAGAGCGGCAGTACTGATGCTGAGCTCACTAACTATGCGCGCAAAGCCAGTGTGTCTTTTTCACTAAAAATAGCATCGAACTACTTAATCATCAGACTCATTAGGTGCATGGAAAGAGAGAAATTGCTGGTAACTGTAAAGCCGATGAGCTAGTCAGAAGAGGCACCGCTCACATCGGAATGGGTCCGAGTTGAATCTTCATTGGACTTCACATGCGCTTAGCAGGCACTGATCGACAACCCACTACTGTGGGACTGCTAGATATTTTTGCCTAGGCTACTTTGCACAATTTATGCATTCATACGGTAAGGTAAAAAATCTTAACAGACACAAGTTGTCAATGCTATATTGAGGATGTTAAGGTGAAAACATCCAGGCAGTCTTACCTTCGGCAAACCTGAAGACATATAGTACAAGAAACTTTGACTGAAGGCCGAAGTTTTCAAAACTGTATAATAGTTAATAACAGTATATGAATTCATGATTATTCAGGCTACTGAACTTCATAAAATAAATTGGTCGAGTGTTACAATCGGCAGAGACTCTTTCTAATGAATAAAACTTCTTTTCAAAAAATTTCCATTTGAGAGCATCCAGCGATTTGGTCTAAAATAATAAATGGTCTCAAAAATCTAAAAATAACAACAACATGCCAATTATGATTTTTATTAATAAGCACTTGTCGTTTTAAAATTGCGTGGCAAGGTGTAGGTCACGAACAATTTCGATCAAAACTGAAATACATATATGCAATAATAATCATACATACATACATATGTGCACTTGCATGTATGTAAGTAAATGGCATGCGTAATTCTTATTTGATTAAAAAAGAGTTTGACTTAATTACTCACTCGTTAAAATAAAGTACTTTTTGTTGTAGACGAAGTCCGAGAACGTGTCAACTGTAAAAGAACAAGGAAGAGCTTGTAAAAAAGCTATAAAGTAATACATTGAGTGTTGATAAAATATATGTACATATGTATGAATTTATAATTATATAAAAGAAATATATACTTAGTATTATATAAAGGAATTATATACTTAATGAAGCAAAAAATGTAAAAATAACTATAAAACTAAGTTAGAATGTGCTAAAGAAGTAAATTCAAATAAAATAGAAAAGCAAAAGCCACGACATTAAGCCTCGTTAATACTCGTGTATTTAGCAACGAATCATGTTGCTACGTGTGTACTCTTGTAGCTAGCTGTATATCTTAAAAGTATGTATGAATATACTTTGTTTTCGTTCAAGCGCCGGCTCACGCTGCTGATGCTCTTGGGCGAAAGCCGGTTTCTACAGTCAACTTTCAAGTTTATGGTGACGTGTTGCCGCTATATGATGTCATAAACTCTTATAACTGAAATATAAAACTGCCGGTGACTGTCTTCATACAAAATTTAAATTTAAAATATGTATTTTATTTAAATTCAACTTTTCAATGCCAGTTCACGATACGTAGTGAACTCGTTATAATATTTAATAAGATTAATAATAGGGTAGTCGAAAAAGTCTTTTCGTATTTTGAATGAAAATTTGTGAAGTTTGCGGAGACAATGCTGTATCAGTTGGTGTAGCACAACAATGGTTCGCTCGCTTACGTTCTGGAAATTTCGATGTGAAATATGCACCTTGCTCTGCTCGACCTATAGTTGAAAAGTCGATGAAATTATGGAAAAGATTGACCAGAACCGTCACATAAGTAGCCACGACTTCGCTATGGAACTTAACATTCATCATCAAACGGTTTTGAACCATTTAAAAAAGACTGGCTACAATAAGAAGCTCGATGTTTGGATAACATATGTATTGTCTGTGAAAAAATTTAATGGACCGAATTAACATCTGCGATTCTTTGCTGAAACGAAATGAAAAAGAACCATTTCTGAAGCGAATAGTAGCAGGAGACGAAAAGTGAATCAAATACCACAATAATGTACGAAAAAGTTCATGGTACAAGCGTGGTGAAGCTCATAAAATGGTCGCAAAGCCAGGATTGACGGCTCGAAAGGTTATGCTGAGCGTTTGGTGGGATTGTAAAGGAATCATCCACTGCTGTGAGCTGCGCCAACTTGGTCGAACGATTGATTCTACATTTTAGTATCAACAACTGATCAGATTGAAGCAAGCAATCGAAAAAAATGGTCAGAACTGATCAAGAGAAAGGAAAGGGTCTTCCATTTTTTTTAAAAAGTTTTACACTGATGGAATAATGTCTCTAGCGGAAAATGACAGAAAGTGATCGAGCAAAATGATACATATTTGGTTCATTAAAGTTCTTTATAAATATAAAAAATAAGTTTAAGTTTGATTAGAACGAATTTATAGGGTATCCAACGTTTTCTGTTGGGTATTACAAACTTCATGGTAGACTTAATATGAACTGTTCTGGTTACTTTTGAGTACATACATACATATGTACATATTTATATACGTACGACCTCACAAAGTTTATTAGAGAAATACCGATTTATCAAAGACTTGAATGCTGAGTGTCGGAAAGTGAGTTTAATTGACTAAATTCGCGGATGACATAAGCGTACAACAACAAATAATCGGCACTCAATGGCATAAACAAACCGGCAAAGCGCACCAACATACATACATACTTGCACAAATAGCAATTTATGAAAAACATACATTTATTATATATTTATTAAAATCAACAATGGCAAAGTGGCAGCAGAAACAAAAACAGAAACAGAATTTAAAAAATAAAAATAAAGTAAACATATGTATGTATGTATGTATGGACATATAGACATGCATGTGATACTATGTACATATACATATATAAATATATAAAATTTGTTTTGAAGTTGAAGTGCCCTCAGTATAAGCGAAAATTAATTTTATGACACGTGAAAATAAACGAAAGTGAATTTTGTGAGTTTTCGCGTTACTCAAAGTCTGGTTGAATACATACATATATGTATGTACCTCAAAAAAAGGTAGACATACATATGTATGTTTATCGTAATCAGCAGTTAGTGCAAATCCGTCAGTTAATATCTGTCAAAAGTGAGCAATTAAAAAATGACAGCTGTAACTTTAAATTGTAAACAGAAATCAGCTGCGGTAAGAATTTTTATGTTTTCGTGTAATATTTTTCATAAAAAATTATTATTATTTTGTTAAACGTTGATTAGCCAACCAGACTTTGTGAAAACAGCAATTTTATTCTATGTACCCTAGCATAATGCTACCATAAACAAAAAAAAAAAAAAAACAAGTAAGGAAGGGATAAGTTCGGATGTCACCGAACATTTTATACTCTCGCATGACAAGTTTCATCAAGATACATATCTCAATTTTTACTCAAGTTACAGCTTGCACGGACGGATTCACCCATATTTCGAACATATCATCAGGGTGTTAAGAAAATATTATATACCGAATTTCATTGAAATCGGTCGAGTAGTTCCTGACATATGGATTTTGGTCCATAAGTAGGCGACGCCACACCTGGGTGCAGCTTCCTTCTGCCATTTTTTTCCGTAAAATTTAGTGTCTCTGCCGTTTTTTGTTAGTCGGTTAATGCACTTTTAGTGATTTTCATCATAACCTTTGTATAAGAGGTGGACGTAGTTATTAACCGATTTCTTCCATTTTTGAACTGTATGTGGAAATGCCTGAAGGAAACGACTCTATAGAGTTTGGTTGACATAGCTATAGTAGTTTCCGAGATATGTACAAAAAACTTAGTAGGGACGGGGCCACGCCCACTTTTCCAAAAAAATTACGTCCAAATATGCCCCTCCCTAATGCGATCCTTTGTGCTAAATTTCACGCACGGACGGACAGACAGACATCCGGATTTCAACTCTACTCGTCACCCTGATCACTTTGGTATATATAACCCTATATCTGACTCTTCTAGTTTTAGAACTTACAAACAACCGTTATGTGAACAAAACTATAATACTCTCCTTAGCAACTTTGTTGCGAGAGTATATAAACGAATTTGCAAAAACGAAATTGGTACCACTGGTTAAAGGTTAACTAGAAACGATATTCATAGTATTCATTAAAAGCTAACGGGCCACTAAGATGCCATTTGGTAAATGCAAACTAGAGGTTGTGAGAAATAAGTTGCTCTTAAGAAACTGAAAATAGGATTTTTGACAGAAATTTTTACAAAAAAAATGAAAATTTTGCGACATTTTTCTTCAAATAGTTGTAATCGCAAAAAAATCCTTCAACCAAGTCTTTAAGCATTATAACTTCAGTACCTGTGTAAAATTTCATGAAGATCGGCTGGGTAGTTCCCGAGTAATCTTGTCAACAGACTTCAAAAACACAGATTCGGCGCACTTAGCCAAGCCAGCTTCGAGCGCACAAGTTCTCAAGGCTGTATCTCCGAAACTATTACTCGAATCAACTTGAAAATTTAGAACAATATTCTATAGATGTGGTTGAATTTAATTAGATAATAAAAAAATCGATTTTTTAAACCCGTAAATCCAGGTAACCCCTTAAAAAATCCAACTCGTGCAAGGTAAATGGACCTAAAACGAGATGGGGATCGAACTAGGTTGTCATAAGGAATGTTTGTTCAGCTATGAAGCTTACTTTGAATTCATTGGGTATATTAATAAACAAAATTGTCACAGATTGAGTGATGATAATCTACAAATCATGTAACATACTCTAAAAGTCACTTTTGAGTGTGATTTATGAGAAGAAGGAATTATTTCTTCAAAAAGTGAAGCCGACCGTAATGTTACAGTCATTGGGAAACGCTATAGAGGCATTGTTAATGACTTTTTCCTGTGCCTGATGGACGATGTTGATGTGGACAACTTATGGTTTCAACAAAAGAGCACTACAGCCAACGAAGCAATCAATTTATTGAAGAAGACTTTTGGTGTGCGCTTTATCTTGCGTCGCGGATCTACGGTGTGGCCTTCAAGATCGTGCTATTTGAAACCGCTGGACTCTTTGTGGGGTTATGTGAAGTCGCTGGCCTACAAAGTTAGGCCCGAGGCAATTGATACTAGGCACGTTATTCAAGCTAAAGTTATAGGCGCCTGAAAACCGCATGCCTAAAAAATACCCTTTATGATAAATGATTAATATATGCATACATATTTTACAGTTGGTCGAAAGTTTTGTAATTACCTTGGCGCTAAAATTGTTTGATTTTTCTATTTTTAGTTTTGTACAGCAATTCAAGGGTATGACTATGATGATATATATACTACAATATGACGTGTTGCTGATAGTGTTTCTGATAAGAACACTCAGGTGTTCGCAACGACCGTCAATTCATTCAAGCAATATAATATTAATATTATATTATATACATATATATGTACATATAATATATACTACACAAATTACGCATTTTTTGATTGCTTGAATTCGCTTTAAGAATACAATAATTTATTAGACCAAGGTACGAAATTTATGAAAAAATGCATCATAGTACGTTGAAACCCATCAGAAACGAAAGATAAAGTAACAAGAAAGAAAGGAAAAATATTTACGAGCGATGTGAGATCGGATTAAGGGTTTAAACTAATTTAGCTCGAAGGCTTCTGCACTTGCAATAACCTGTTGAAGATTATTCCAAAAATATCGAATCGGTTTTTGTTTTTATCTCGCAATTTTTCCATATTTTCTCACCGTTTAAAACTTCCATGAATACTCCAAGATTGAAATTAGCCAAATCGGTTCAGCCGTTCTCGAGTTTTAGTCAGACTAACGAGCAGCAATTAATTTTTATATATATTATATAGAATATTTGAATTTGAATTGTTCTCTTTCTATTTATATTATGCTATAAAATTTTGATTTACTTCTATATTTCAACCATAGAAATTGAATCATTAACAGAAGCCATTCGCAAGTTATTTATTGTTTGTTTATATGGTATGACATCACCGCTTTTCTTTATCACTT